ATGAGATTATTCAATTTGATATTAAACTGAGTGAGAAAGAAATGAGTGAAAATCCTCTTCTCTCTAATCAGTTTAACTTTGAAAAAGCTGACTGGAAGGCAGTTGAAGAAAGTATAAAACTGTTAAAATCTGAAAGACAGAGTGAGCTGTATTGAAACCCTGATCAAGATATCTCAAATGAAATACTTGAGAATAGAGTGAAGCTCATTACATCTATTATTCTAACAAGTGTTAAAGATAATATTTCAAAGAGAAAGTCTTCTGAGTATTTAAAATCTTGATGAAATGAGAATATCACATCTAAAAGGAAACAATTGACTACTGCTAGAAGAGATTGAAAGAATGATATAATTTCTGATAAAGAGTTTAAAGCTGTCAGAAATGAATATTTTTCAGATATTAAAAAAGCTAAAACAGACTGCTGGAATAAATTTCTTGAAGAAGTATAAGAAAAAGAAGTTTTTAAAGCTTTTAACTATACTAAAACAAGAAGTGTAGCAAAACTTTCAACCTTAGAATATGAGTTTTAGAATGAATTATATACAGCAAACTCTTTTGAGAAAAAATGTCAAGCTTTTATGAGAACTCTCTTTCAAAACTCATCAGATTCAGATTCAGAGAAAGAGAATATATCATATCTCAACTATATTGATGAAAATAACTGGGAATGGCCTGATCTTACTCAAGATGAACTAGAGTCAGCTATCTTCTCAAGTTCAGTTAAGACTGCTGCAGGGCCTGATTCAATTAATCACTTGATTATTCAAAATACATACTTCTACTTAAAGAATGAATATTTTGAGCTCTTTTTCAATCTCTTGAAAAATGAATATCATTCTGAATGCTGGAGAGAAGTCACTGGAGTGATTCTTGTAAAACCTAATAGAAAAACTTCAATTCCTAAGTCATATAGAGTAATATCTCTATTGAACTGTCTAGAAAAGGTTTTAGAAAAGATAATAGCTACTTGACTATCTTTTATAAGCTCTATAAGTGATTCTCTTTTATTCAGTGAATAAATGAGAGATAGAAAACAGTGTTCTGTAATTGACACTGTTCTCTCAGTTATTCATGATATTTAAATAGCAAAGTATGAGAGTCTGGTCTCAACTGCAGTTTTTATTGATATAAAAGAAGCATTTAATCATGTTTCAAAGTCAAAGTTAATTCAGATATTGAAGATATTAAAACTGTCACTTTCTCTAATAAAATGAGTTAACTGTTTTATATCTAAAAGAATTATACAACTCTTCTTTAATGAAATGAAATAAGACAAGACTGAGATAAAAATAGAAGTATCACAGAGATCTTCAATCTCACTCATTTTATTTGCAATATACACTGCATATCTATTCAAAAATAGAAATATGAGAATAGTGTGATCTCTGAGTTATATGAATGATATTGATCTAATCTACAGCTCAAAAACTATCAAAGAGAATTTGAAAGTGATTGAAGAAGCTGCAAAGGAAATCTTTGTTAGAGCAGATATCAATTAAATTCAATTTAATATGAATAAAACTGAGTTAATTCATTTCTTTTCTAGATTCAATGAGAAAGAACTATCTCTAACTCTTTTAAATAGAGAGATTAAACCCAGTGTAAATGTCAAATGATTAGGAGTATGATTAAACTTCAAGTTGAATTTTAAATATCACATTCAACAAAGAACTGTCAAGACAGAAAGACTATTGAACAACATAATCAGACTATTAAATACAGAGAGAGGTTTATCCTTCCAGGCTATGAGACAGTTATATATAGCCTGTATTACATCAGTAGCTGATTATGAAGTTCAAGTTTGATGAAATAATCAAGAGAATTTCACTGAACTCTTTCAAAGTCTGTAAAACAGAGCCTTGAGAAGAATTCTGAGAGCATTCAAATCATCTTCTATTAAAGCAATAAAAATTGAAGCTTCAATTCCTTCTTCTGCTATTAGATTTGAAAAGGCCTGTATGAACTATGCTCTGAGAGTTGTAAAGATGAGCTTAAATTATATAATCAGAGAAAGAGTCTCTTCTTCATTTTCATCAATTAACTCTGGAAATGAACTGGATTGAAATAGATTTCTTGATTGAAATGAAAATAATTCTTCAAAGAAAATGTCTTCTCAACTGTACAGACTATGCTCTCTGATTAAAAATCAATTCTCTTCTTTAAATATTGAAAAAGTTGATCATGAGAAGTTATCTCTCTGAAGAGAAAAGCTTGAATCTCTTATAGACTTACAAATAAGTGAACTATTAAAAGAGAAAGAATATGAACAGTATTTGAAGAGAATCTCTACAATCAATATAAAAGACTCTATTCTGATTTATTCAGATGACTCAAAAAATGAGAATTTGAATAGATTAGATGCAGGCATTGCTTATACTGAAGATAATATCAATTTTATCTCAGATTTCTGGAATCTAGGCTGTGAATCTGAAGTCTTTGATGCTGAACTATTTGTAATAGTGAAAGCTTTCAAACTCATTGAAATAAAATCTCATAAAAGAGGAAATTGTTTGAAAGAGATATGAATATTCTCTGATAGTCAAGCTGCTTTAAAAAGACTTAGAAATAGTCAGATTTATAATGATCAAATGAATCTTGAACTGATCTTAAACTCTGTTTTGAAAATTCAAAAGAGAAGAATATCAAAGCTGATAATTTATCTGCACTGGGTTCCTGCTCATATGAATATTCATGGTAATGAATTGGCTGATTCAGCTGCAAAAAAGGGTGCAGAATTAAGCAGATCTATTCAAAAAATTGTGTCCTGATCTTTTATAAAGAGAAAAATAAAAGAATCTTGTTTAGACAAGTGAAATGAAAGCTGGCAGAAACAAAAGAAGAGTATACATTATTCAAGATTTGAAATAAAACCCAAGTGGAAATCTTGTTCAATTAAATGTAAAAAGAAAATATTCTCATCTATAATACAGCTGAAACTAGGACATGGCTATTTCAAATCTTATATACAAAGATTTGATGATAGATTTGACTCAATAGAATGCTCATTCTGCAATACAAATGAGAATCCTGAGTATATTGTAATGCACTGTGCATTATATAATAGTCTCAGAGCCAGATTGAAAGAGAAGTATGATCTAAATCAATTAAATATGAGATTCTTATTCTCAACTGAGACAGGAATTAAATACTTAATAGACTTTCTATCAGAAACTCAAGCAGCTACAAGAAAATGGCTAAATTCAGAATTATCTGAATATGAAGAGGAGGAAATCAACCAGATATAGTCTGTTAAAACAGCTATATACTATCTTTTAATAATTTGTTTTATTACAGTCTTTCTTTACTTTATCTTTTTCTTTCAATTTCTTTCTATCTATCTATTTAATGTGTCTATCTTTAAGACTGTGTTCTCTTTTCCTTTGTCATGATATTGTCAAATGGTTTCAAAGTATCAGAAGATGTTAAAACACTGCAATTTGTAAATGATTTTTGTATTCTGAGCTGGAATTTTCTGATTTTGCATATCTGAAATTGATGAATGTATAATAGTTAACTTTACAGATATAGGAAAAACCCTGAGAACTAAAAGTTCTCAGGTAGATGTCATAGTCTCTGACTGCATACATCTATAATTGAAGAATAATAATAATAATAATAATAATGAATTTCTATATCACTCTATTCACAAGATTTATCTGACATTACATATTGATGATTATTAAATGACAGAATCTCAAGAACAGTAATTAGACTGAGTATTAAAAGAGATTGTAAAGAGATTTAAGATAAAAGATGTTAAAGAGATCAAGTTATATCTTAAAATGAAGATCAAATATCAGAGAAATAATGATTTAACAGTTACACAGAGCTATTATATTGAGAAGATTCCTGAAGATTTCAGTATAAATAAGATGAATCCTGCAGAGATCTCAATGATAATAAGTATATAACTGAAGTTTTCATCTGATGAGAATGATAAATTGAATGATAACTTTACAGCTATAAGATATTGTCAAGAATTGAAATCATTGCAGTATTTAATCTCAAGCAGTTAGTCAGATCCAGCATTTACAGTCAACTATCTCTTGCATTTTAACTTGCATTTATACAAAGCATGTTGAGCAGTGTTGAAGCATGTCCTACATTATATCAAGAAGATGAAAAACCATGACATATTGTATAAGAAGAAGATAGAAGATGGCCTGAGTTCTGTGACATACTGTGATTTGAACTGGGCAGAGGTGAATCCTCAATACAAATCAACTACTGGCTACATTATATTGATTAATAGGTCATCAATCTCATGACAGTTGCAGAGACAGACATCTATTGCTAAATCAATCACAGAAGCTGAGTATATTGCAGCTAGTGAGACAGCTTGTGAGATAATCTGATTGAATGATATATTATATGACACTGAATTGATGAATGATGAAAAAGTGAAAATATACTCATATCTACAAGTTAATAATAAGGGAGCAATTGATCTAGCAAAGGGAGAATCCTTAACATGAAGATCACATCACATTGAGATTAGATATCATATTCTTCACAATTTGATTGAAAAAGAGGAAATCATGATGGAACATGTTAATTCTACAGTGAACATAGCTGACAGGCTCACCAAGCCACTGGCGAAGCCTGCATTTGAAGAATTTATCAAGAGGGTTGGCATTCAGGAAATTGAGAAGAAGGAATGATTGAATGGTAATGATGATACAGCAGATCAATGGATTTTGCATGTATTTCTTGATTTTTATGGTTATTGCTGCACGGACGCCTTTCCTAATGAGGAAATCAGGGTCTGATTCATGTAATTAATTATTATTGCATTTTTGAAAGATTTGAGGATGGGGGAGGCCCCGGGTGGCGGCTTATTATAGGCCACGGTGTAGCAAGGGGGGGTGTTGGTGATTACTACACCTACCCTAGTCACGTGCCACCCCAACCTATCCATTTAGTGTAACTCGCGTAGATAGATTACACACACACAACACAACAACGTTATCCTCCAAGAGGCTTGTGTAGTAGCTCCAACACAACTCGCTTGTGAATTACGTTAGTGAGACTGCAAGTAAATCAGCCAAGTCAGGCAAGATCTGTGGCAGGTAAGTGATTCTGCACCGCCACAGAGATCTCTCGCTTTGCTTATCTTGGCATTTCTTTCCTATATAAGGGCTAAAAATCACACAACAATCCCGACAGATGATATCATATGACCTCAAAATTCCAACAATAAAAGCCAACTTCTCTTCCCAACTTTTGTATTGACACAAACATTCAACCCAACGCATAATAAGATCTGGATTGTTATATTCCCCTTCATTATTTTTGCATTGTTAATGCATCTCTGAGCATGGTTGCGTTCTCTACAAATAAATAATATCTGACCATGGGCATTGTTTGGCGCCGAACTAATAACTTTTTTTGACAGGGGCATGGCCAATCAAATCGTATTTCGCTCTAGTTTCGGCCTGATACCCATCCCTGATATTTTGGCAAATTAAGACTCAACAGGAGAGGATTCTTTGCCTGGTTCAGAAAGCTGGCTAGTCCGCTTTCCTTTGACTCGCCAGTTCCTTTCTTCCCCCACTGCAGCTGCAGGTACAGCCGCGTACAGAAGAACGTTTATGCGAGGGGAAAAGAAAAAGAAAAAAAGGAAATAAAGGGTTTGGCGATACGCCCCGGAAGCACATCAGTAATACCCAAAAACACATATAATGCCTGAATTATGGACTTTCCCAGCTGCCCCGATCTGACATTCCAGGGTTGTCACATACAAGCAAGGGCCTAGAAACCAGACTTGGCTTGGGTTGAACTCTAACATGGATTGGTCTCGAATCACACAAACGGAGAGTTGAGTTGGCTTGGCTTGCCAACTAAACCTGGCTGGCGATGCAGAATGAAAATACCAAAAATATCCAAAAAAATATGAGTCTCCAATGTAAAAAACTCACTTCCATCAATAGCAATGTTACTGTGGAACACTAAGATCCGGTCGAGGGGCGTGATTCAAGAAGCCAAAACTCAAGCATTCATAAACATATCCACCCAAAGTTCCAAGATTATCATCAGCTCCCTCGTCATGGAAATCCCAAGGCTGTTCATAATTGAAATCCCGTATACCTTCCTTGATAATGCGCTCATGTGCTGTCCAAGCATCAAAAGACTATCTGATGATGCTGGTCAGGTCATGTCTTCCGTTGATGAATTCCCATCGCTTCCACCCTGCGACATGTGGGTGTAAATGAAATACAACATCAATCCAAATCAATAATTCGGTCATCCTGAGTTCATTCATCACTTAAAAGCTTTCAGAAGTTCTATATGCTTTCTTTCAGCCGGTGAACTCGAAGATACTATCTTGCTTTCGTTACCGCAGCGCAGGCATACAGCTGACAGCTTTTTCATTGCCACCAAGAGGAGTTCTCACAAGTGAACCAACCAGCCTTCTTTTCCATTGCCATTTATCGAACACATCTTTGACATTTCGGGTTCTCGTTTACCTCCCTTTGCCGTCCCTGAGTGACATCTGAATCATCCAACCTGTCACATCGCTTGATGTGGGAATGTCACTCATTATTTGTCTCAGGTGTTTGCAACAGCACAAGAAGAACCATGTCCACATCAATGTAACCCCACAAACTACTCACGGCGCGAAAACATGACTCAGTCAGAGTACATTCTGATCCTGCCCATCTGCCATTCCCTACACCGTCCGGTCGGCCGACCAACTGTTACTATTATTATTGTCTTAGGAAAACACATTAGGGCATGGAGCACCCGTTGTCACTATTAGCATCCTGTTAGAAACAACCGGGATCCCGCTATCAGCTTTTGATCTCCCGCGTGACTATCTAGCGCTGGAGAGGCATGGATAACCCCTGCTTGTTGATCCAAGTTGGAAATACATGACGTGAAGGGGCGCGGCCACCAAAAAAATGCCTATGACGATGTTGGCAGAGAGCCAAGTATCAGATTTTCTGGCATAAGGCTGGTCCGGCGTATGCCTTGGTCCTTGACCCGGGTCTGATATTCCACCCGGGGGATGCCTATATTTAGTCTTTCGATAGGCAGTAGGCAGCCCAATATCTTGCCAAGCGGCAAGGTAGAGCTAGGTCGGGATGGGCGGACCAAGAAGCTTTTGATGCTGCCATTCAAGTGACGGCACCAAAGCAAGCACTTGAGTGGCAAGAATAAAGGAAGAGAAGCCCAGCCAGAAGAGCTTGTGCTCAAAGGAATGCTGTGGCTGACAGGCCCATATCTATATGAAAAAAAAAAAGAGCTATATTATTAAAATTTGACATATGAAAGATGATGATATTATGTATACAGGTGACAGTCAAACTCAATCCATAGCCCATCATAGCCGTGCAGGAGGTGAGCTAGCAGGAGGATTGCTATCTGGAGCTCCAGTGAGCTTGAAATGCCCGGGTTGCAACTTCTGGAAAGCCTGAGAGGGATCGTATCTCCTTGCCACCTCCACCAGACGATCATGGTTTGCGGAGCCATATGATTCAACCACGTTCTGGAACTGACTGGCGTAGTTCATGTAGATGAATCGGTTGAGCTTTTCGCGAGACTTGGCCTCAGACTTGATCGCATTAATGATGCTAGAAATGGCCTTGAGAACGGCCTCATCATCCGCTTTGTCGGCCCACATAACGTTTACCAGCACGAGGAGAAGGGGTTTCCCACACGAATCCAGGCCAAGCGCGTTACCCCCATTCTTACTCATCTTTTCGATCATAGCGGGCGTGATGGCTTGCAAGGTGAGCGCTGGAACGATACCAGTAACATTCTTGATGGGATCAACGCCGGCCATGTATGCGTCCACAGCAAAGGTGAGCATCTCGATGTCGAGGTTGACTGTGACAGTCCAGTAGTTTTGACGCAGGCCGTCTGGATTACTCTCCTTGAATTCAAGGGTAACATCTGATAGAGACTTAATGCCCAAAGTATCTATCATTGGGGGGATTGCTTCGAAGGAGCTGAAAATTGGTGGATTTTCCACGGCCTCCGTATATTCTATGTTGATAGCTGCAACGAACATGCCTTGGGCATATGCGAAGTTGCAAATCAATGCAGCCTTGGGATCGGAGGGCCAGTCTTTGGCAAATTTAACCACAGCGTCAAGAAGGAGTCTTCGGGTGTTGTCATCCGCTAGGTATATCCGTGAGCCGGCCCATAGGTCCCCAGCGGGATACGCGGCTAAGTCGAAACGTGTCACAATGCCAAAGTTATTACCACCGCCTCGAAGAGCCCAGTATAGATCTGGATGGCTTTCAGGGTTGGCATTGAGAATGCGACCATCGGCGACGACAACCTGAACCAATGTGAGTCCCAGATCTAAAAGGAAGCATGGCTAGAATGAACGAAGATGATGAACAGAGCACGAATGACCAACCTCGAAATTATTTACGTTGTCGCATGCGAAGCCGTACTGTGCTGAGTAGAAAGAAATGCCACCTAGCAGAAAAGGGAGACAATAAGAACAATCAGCGGTTTTAAAGTTGAAAAGGGAACATATTAATTAGACGTCACAGGCATTTCCCGAGTAGCTTACCTCCGAGTGTCAGGCCCCCCACACCAATATTAGACACACGGCCACCAACAGCGGTCAGACCGTGAGGCTCAAGACTTTTATAAACGTCAAGCCAGCGGTTTCCAGGGCCAATCTTGACAGATTTCCTATCCGAGGCCACCTGGATCGTGTTTAGGCGCTGCAGATCAATGGTTAAACCGTCTGGGATGCTGGACGCTCCAGAAAAAGCGGCGTGGCCGCCGCTCTTCACCGCAAATGGACAGTTCAATAGACGCGCCATCAACAAGACGATGGCGACCTGACTGCTCGAAGTGGGTTGGAAGATACAGGCAGGTTTGGATTCCGATTGCTGCTGCGACCAGAAGAGGCCGCGCCATTCTGTATATTGAGGCGTGTCCTTCAAGTAAACTTGTAGTGGGAAAATTCCGGAGAGCACATGGCACTTTTAATGGTTAGCCAAAGATAAAGATCACAGCCCTCGAATTTGGCGGTGGCTCAACGAATATACGTACAGTAATTTCAGCTGGAATGGATAGAGACCTTTTTGTTGATTGAGCAAGCTCGGATGGATCGACGAGACCAAGTACGTCCACACCATAGTCGGCCAACGCATCGATAATAACTTTATCTTCGGGTGATATCACCGCAGCGCTTGGTTCAGAATGACCAAGCGCCATTGAAACAAAAATGCAGCATGCTGCCAGGAGCTGTAGGAGAAGCTTCATAGCTGTTAAGGTTCGCTTCCTGCGTCTATATGCCAATCTTTAAGCTGTAGCCTTGTCCAACTATACGAACAAGAAGAACCCAAATTCTGAAAGTGAGGGAGAAAAGCTCGCCGTTGAAACCCGTGAGGCTTGTCTGCAGGGGCATGGGGTTTGTCGCGACGAAAAGGAAGAGGAACATGGAGCTCTTCAATTAAGAACCAGCATGCATCCCCTAACGTTAGGGTGTTCGCCCTCACAATGGGTGTTGATATCAGGGGGGAAAACACATGGGCAATCTCGCCTATTCAGACCCTTGCAAAGGCCCTTGCAGCTAGGAGCGCCACGGCTACTGGGTGACTCCCCAAAAGCGCAGAAAAACACTCCTCGGCCATTTGAGCGTTTAAATCTACGCTGTAGGTCGGCGGCTTCATGAGTACCGTACCGTGCGGTGCGTATGTCACTAAAATCAGCGCGATTGTTGAGGCCGGCGGGGCTATTCTCTATTTTCCCCCATGTGGACAAGAGAACTCGCCTGGTCGGATATTATTATTATTAAGGGCGTGTTCGCACGTACAAGTCTGTACTCGCGAAAAGTGGATATTAGCATACTGCTGGTGTCATATTTAAGCAAGGAATATGACCTGCCTCACTACGTAGTTAGTACGTACTGCAACTTTCCACAAGATGTCCATTATTGACCTGACAGTACTCTGTACGGAGTATACATGACCTGAAACACTCCTCACCTTGTCTATTTCAGTTACAACCCTCACTATTCAGACTAAATACTCTGTTGAAGTTTAATATTGCATGATTGAAGTCTAATCATGTGTAAGTGAAGAACAAAAAGAGATAAGGGTGGTGGCAGAATGAACACAAGGCCTTTTTCATGCAAACAATGTTGGATAGGGTGTGTAAGGTCGCTTAAAGGGGTCTTTCATACAAGATTGTCCGAACACGCCTTAAGTGATCCCTGAAGAGTCGGCTTTTTTCACAGTTGGGCCATTTCCTATGACTAAAGTTTTCCTGAGCTCAAGATCGAACGAACCGCTCTCGGACCGCTTGACAGGCACGTTTTTTACATGGATTCATTATTATTGCTCCGTATTGTACAGAGTACTCTGTACACAGTAAGGGCCTGTTCAGTGCGGCCGTGTGTACTCGTTCTTTTCATACAGATCTGCACTTTTTTTAAAAAGTACAGCCTCAATATCACAACTGCTCAGTGGGCAGAGTGTCTGTACTAATATTACAGCTGCTTTTTACAAAGTATAGATGAAAAAGACCAGGTGTTTGATGAATTGAGCAGCTGTACTTGCATCTTTTATCAAGATCTTATGAATAAGCAGTATTTAACTTCAATGATGCACTTTTAGAGGCAATATAGTGTAGAATAGTGTTCAAAGTGAAGGTAGTTAACTAATATTGGTTAGAAAGAAGCTCATAAAATGTGTTCTTTTGAATGGAGTCCAGAAACGCGTTCTTTTTGAACTGACTCTGAACTCTGTTCAAAAAGAACGCGTTTTTGTGAGCTTCTTTCTCCATCCCATTCTACAGAAGAATATTGGAATAGTGTGGTGGCACAATGCCGGCTTGCTACTAATAATTGGTAAATACACTATTTTTAATGAGATCCACTATTGCGTTCAAAAAGTACGGACGCAACCGAACAGGCTCTAAAAGTAGTATATACACTGTAGTACACGTGCCTTTCACCGACGCCACAACGCAACTTGTACCTTTTGTATGGGCTCACCATATAAAAAATACCTATTAGAAAAAATTAATATCTTCAATACAACATCAGATATGAGTAAGATTTTTTTTTTTTTTTAAGCAGAGAATAATAAATAAGAGCCTCAGTGACCCTGTTCAGGGCCGTATAAGTCTGTACAGTGCCAGCTTGTACAGCTCTGGACGGCTCTGGCTGGGGTTATACATGCTAACCTGGCTGGATAAGGCCTTCTGTTCAGTAGATTCTGCATAAAACTCTGTACAACTCATCAAGCATGTCAAGCTAACAGTCAGATTCATATTATAGTGTGGCGGGCTGCGCCCGATCAATCATAGACTATTCCATTACACTCCATAGATTCCGCTGAAAGCTCCGATTCTCGGCCATTCTCGATCGCCGATCCTCGGCCGCCACGAACACGTATAAATTCTCCCGCCCCGAAGCTCCACCGCGTACACCACCACATATGCATATAAATATCCACTTCAATTGCTGATTCTCACACTTTCTCTTTCTTTTTCTTCTTTAACATTTTTCACTTTGTTATATAAGACCTATAAATATCATACTGATCTATTCAGTGTAGGCTTCTTACACTTGAAAAACATTCATCATCTTCTCATTAGAAATGATTATTCATTAAGAAGATATTTAAATGTATAACAACATATAAGAAATAGAAAAATGATTAAACAGTTAAGTAAACACTGAGTTCTCAGAGAGAAGCTTGCTTATCAGTCACTCTGACTCTGTAATAAGATTTTACAAAGAGAATATTAGTAAAAGATCTGAGAGTTCTGACACTCTAGATATATAAGATATTTATATAATTATACTTCTTCAGATTTCACAGTTATTATATATTCAATAAATAACATATCTAATAATAATACAGAAGAACTCTTAAATACAAGTATAAATATAATATCACAGTAACTCTGAGCAATGTTGAAATTATAATAATAATAAATAGTTAATATGTATGTAACTTAATAACTTCAATATGAGGAAATTTAATAATTAATTCAATAAGAAACTCATGCAATGTTAACACTAATAGAATTAAATATAATATAAGCACTGAAAGAATACTTAGATACTCTTATATATTTTAATACTTCTGATCTCACTCTCTACTTATCATGAAGATTGAAAACACTTATAAAACTGAGTATAGATGAAGATGTTATCAGTTCACTAATCAATTAAAATTGATATATTAATGAATAATTAAAGAATTATATGAAACAGAAGTTTCATTCATGAATAAAAGTATATAAATCAGTGTTATAAATGCCTGATAATATTATCAAATATCTTAATATTCTGTTTTAAGACACTGTTATACAATAGAAAGTATTAGATTAATTATAGAGTATCTGACAGAGAAACACTTTTCTTATAACATTTATTCCTGACTTTGATATCAAGATTCTAGAAGCAGATAATCAATCTTGAAAGAATTGAATGAAAATTAGCATGTTTAAAAGATATTAACTTTCAAACTCTTATAGATTCTTATAAGTGTAAATAAAGATCTGACTTATAAAGACTTCTACACACAACTTCAGACATTGAATAACTGTCTTATCAAGCTCAAGAGTATACAGAACAGTGATAGAAGATATTACATCTCAGTTACTTATACACTCATACTGAAGAATAATAATAATGATGCAGATGTTATGAACTGAGTAGACTTAAATATCTACACATAAGCAAGAGTCTCTGTTATTTGAACAGGCTTTTGAGTTTCTGAGATCACTTTCAAAGAAGTTGCTGACTGATGTTAACATGAAGTATATATTAACTGTAACTGATTAAAACATATCACTTTCAACTGTTAATTGATCTATATATCTTCTCACTTAAGAGAAAGATCAGTGTTTTCTCACTTAAAGAATGAATCAGTATCTGTTCACATTAATCACATTGCATTGAAGAAAGATTTAGAAGATAACTATAAGAATACTCTGATAAAACAGAGAAAAGATTAGCTTCTATTCAAATTTATAAACAGAAGCTTGAAGAGATTGAATAATAATAATTTAAAGAAAAGATGACAATGAATATAATTCTTATATCTACTGTGATGAATAATATGTATAATATAAAGATTATAATAGATAGCAGTCTATATCACTATACAATAATTAAATCTTCAGTTGTAAGATATTACAATCTTTAATATATTCTCTTATCAAGACTCTGAGTTCTCACAGAATTTAATGACTTAAAAGACATTTATACTCATTACATGATGAAGTTGACTATAGATGTTGAAGAACATCAATATAAAGATGCCTATGTATATAAAGATAATAATCTCAATTATAATCTTATATTAGAACTTGCCTGACTATCTGAATAAGATATCTTATTAAATACTTAAAACAGAAGCTTGATGTTCTCTAACAATGATAGAATTCATGAAGATGATATTCATAAAACTATGAATCTAACACAGATCTCTGCTAACACATATGAAATACTTTAAAAAAGAAGTCACTGACAGAATTACTAACAAGATTATCAACAGCAGAATCATGTGATAACCTACTCTATTAGTCTGACTGATATTAAAAAGACTCTAGAAAAGTTATCTCATGTTATAATAACAGATTCTTATATAAAACTCTCTTAATAATATTATAAATATCTAGATATCTTCTGATAAGATAATAATATTACAAATCTATCTTTCTTATAAGATTCAGAAGTGAATCACAGTATTAAGTTAAAAAAGAAGAACAGTAAAGACTCAGAATCATCATGAGACTCTCTTTATAATATATATCAAGATGAACTTCTTCTTCATCAAAAGACACTCAATAATCTGTTAAATAAAGAATTTATATATATTAGTAATTTCTCTGCTGCAGCTTCTATTCTCTTTGTAAAGAAATCAGATAAAGAACTTCAATTCTATGTGAACTGTCAAGAATTGAACAGATTAATCAAGAAGAATCACTATTCTTTATCTCTGATCAATGAAACTCTAGCTTGTATTAAATAAGCTCAATAGTTTACAGAACTAGATGTTATTACTGTATTTTATAAAATCTGTATCACTGAAGAAGATGAATGACTTACAGTATTTCAGACATGTTATAATCTCTTTGAATAAGTAGTTACTCTCTTTGAACTGACTAACACTCTCAGTATATTTCAGAAGTATATTAACTGAATACTTCAGAATTTCCTTAATAAGTTCATATCTGCATATCTTAATAACATTCTCATATTCACTGATGAGTTCAGAAAAGAATATCAAGAACATATATAAAAAGTATTATAATAATTATAAGAGACAGAACTATCAATAGATATTGATAAGTGTAATTTTGAAGTTAAGAGTATTAAATATCTGGGTTTTATCATAGAAGCTGATAAGAGAATTTGAATGAATTCTGAGAAAGTCTTCATTATTCTTGAATGAGAAGCTCTGTGTACTGTGAAAGATATATAAAGCTTTATTGAATTTGCTAACTTCTATCAGTGATTTATATAAAACTTCTCAGATATCATAAGATCACTTATAAAACTTATTAAGAAGAACTCAGTATTTCAGTAATCAGTGAATACTGAAGCTGCACTTATACAGATAAAGAAGATATTTATTAACACTTCTCTATTAATGATATTTAACTCTGATTATGAAACAGTTGTTGAAGCTGACTTCTCTGACTATATTACAGAGAGAGTGATATTATAATATAATAATAAAGATATCTTATAATCATGTGTCTTCATATCTAAGAAACTGAGTCTTATTAAATGCAACTATGAGATCTATGATAAGAAACTTCTTACAATTATACACTGTTTAAAAGAATGAGACTCTGAACTCTGAAGTGTCTTCAAATTTGAGATAATTACAGATTATAAGAATCTCAAACACTTTATTATCACTTACAAGCTTACAGAATAACAGATGTGATGATTCAAACTATTAAGTCATTTTCATTTTATAATACACTATCATCTCAGCAGTCAGAACTCAATGACAGATACTCTCTTATAACAAGAGTAAGATATACTATTCAATATAACAGATACTCACTGAATGAACTGAGAGCACCAGCTCTTGAATCTGAAGATATTAGTTAATTAAGATAGAACAGCTCATGATACTATATACACTTCTCTGATTAGAACTGTCACTGATATCTCAACTTCTTCTGAATCTATACTAGATAAACTATAACATACAGCAGCTCAAACTGATGAACTTCTTCAAGTACTTATTAAAGCAGTATGTCAAAAAGCACTCTGATTTCCCTCAGAACTATGTATAAGAATTGACATCTCAGAATGTTCAATTAATGATAATAATACTCTATAATTTCATAAATGACACTGAGTCTCTTACTTCAAACTCTTACACACTCAGATAATGCAAGAGATACATGATTTATATATAACTGATTATTCAGGCTATGAATAACTGTATTAAATAATCTCTCAAGAATTCTACTGATCTAAGATATTAAATAACATTAGACATTTTATCTGAAACTGTAATCATTATTCTTTCATCATCTTATAAAAGAACTGTAGAAAAGACCTGCTGAAATTACTTGATATGTTTAATAGAATCTGATAAGATATGTTAATTAACTTCACTATTGATCTCTCTGAGAGTAAGAATTGTAGAAACATTCTGATCATTATAAACTGATTGAGTAAATATGTAATATTGAAATCTTGTAATAAGATAAATGC